GGACTTACAGAAACCTTTTGGGGGGTTTGGGGTGCTTACTGCATTCAGTGTCATGTCTGTCTGTTTTTCTCCAGGCTCAGGTAGATATGGAAAGGGGTTCAGATATTCTGAACTGCCCTGTCCTGCAGAGGGGTTTTCACAAGCTCCTGGCTGCATGGTTCTTCCTGCTTCCGCCATATCCCCCCAGCCAGCAGGGCTTCCCTTCCCAGCTGCTCAGAGCTGGTGAGGACAGCAGTGTTGGCTGGGATATGGCTGTGGGCACTTCCATTTGTGATGAGAATAACAGTCTCTAGCATGAACCTGATGGAAAGATGGAGCGGCCTCTGGACCAAGCCCACTTGGTCTTGTCTCTACGATGGCTTTTGTGAGAAAAGACTCAGTAGTAATTCTTTAGGGTGTCACAGCTTCCCTTGGCCTTTCCTTTCAGCCCACCTCGCTTTCTGCTTAGTGGCCTGCCCGCTGTTGTTGGGGGATGGCTTCTGAAGGGGCACCATATCTTCCATCCCATCCCTGCTTTACAGAAGACAGTCCTTAGTCCAGGGTGTCTCACCTGACCACACGGTCTCAAAGCCGAGATGCTGCACTTGAAAGTCAGATAGTCTCTCTGAACCAAATCAACATAGACCCTTCCTGAGCATAGTGTGGAGGGACGTGAGCAACCAACCCATCAGACCCACCAGTCCGCCTTGCAGTAGAAGCACTTTGGATGCAACCTCACAGTCCACCTGACTGACTAGTTTCGCATAGAACAAACCACAGCCGATCAGTGAGCAGAGCTTTCTATTGTCTTGGATGGGTAGACACTGTCCAACTCTCCCGGCTCAGGGGGTGTGTCCGTCTGTGTCACTGCAGCCAGGACAAGTCTAGAGCACCACCTGCAGGCAATGTCGCAAACAGCACAAAACAGGAGCTGACCTGTGGTTATTCTTTTTAAGAGAATTATAAATACTGTAATATATAATTTTATTTTATTGGCATGCCTTTTTGTAAATACAAATTACTAACTTATTAAATAGGAAATGGCTTCTGGCTTACGCCATTGTCATGGTTATTTTTATTTTTTATACTTTCCTTTCTTCTTAGAATTTAGAAGCTGTCAGCCAATGTATACCCCTAACCAGAAAGACAGACAAAAAATTTTTTATTGCTAATGGTCTTTTCCAAAACGACTATAATCACTGATAAAAATATATAAAGAGATCGGAAAAGCGGCAAGAAAGGCAAAACACTTCT